AAGCGTAGCGTGGAGCCCTCTTTTTTCATTCAGCAGTGATACAGCTGATGATATCACGATGGTTGTCCGCATGTCTTCCACCATGGGATGCAGCCGCCGTGTGCAAGGCTCGTTGTCTCTTGAACAGTTTGGTAACACCACCCTGTTTCGGGTACTGATTGATGTCATGAGGTGATCGATGGAGTTGATGGCGGCGGCAACCACCCCGGTGACCGCTTCCAAGGAGCTGTTTACCTTCCTGAAAGCGTTCAGTGGGAGCCAATCTACAAGAAAGTCAAGAGTGCCAATACTACATCCATCCGTGGTCGATGTACTTTTGTGAAGTTTGGACCAAACGTCTCTGGTATCACTGCTTTCCAGGTCACTTTGATCTACGCAACAGCAACAAGAGTGCAGATACCAAACGAGTGAGTGCATCCTTCGAGGCGTGCATTGCGAAGGCTTCAGAGGCTGTCAACACGGTGTCCAACAACAACAATAGCTTCCATTTGTAGTCGAAACAGTGTCGACGATGGCATTACCCAGTGTCGACGATGGCATTATCCGTTATCCGCGGCACAGAGGCAGTTTTGTACTGTTTTACTATAGAATCGCCAATCCACGGATGGAATATCCTCACCTCGATTTGACTCAATCCGCAAAATGTGAGCAGCCACTACACAATGACAATGGCATCTATATTCCAGAGGATTGTTTTTTCTTACTCTCCTATCTATAAAGATCAAAAGCTATAATAGTGATAGCCTCAATATTAGCTATAGTTATGATGCTAGCAGCTAGACAGCTTCAAAGTAAGCAAGGATATCCGATGTATTCGTGGATCCTTGGAGGCAGCCCCTTTCCAGGCACTAGGTTGCCAAGGGGCAACCTATCATCAATTCATCAAGATCCACACGGACTCTTGGCGCTTGTGCTTCTTCTTGGAGTCCTCAGTTCCGCATCGACACTATCGGAATCTTGTGATTCCTTGCGCACACGAGCAACATTAAGAAGCGAGATAATGGGTCTCGCGAAAACGCGAGGTCTGGAAGGTACCGAACGATATGCGTCCCTAGGCGATTGGTGACGTCATTGCTCCCGGATTTGGATGGTGTTTCTTGTGGAACAGGTACTGGGTTCTCCATTGGGTGTGGCAGTATGCACCGTTTGGAACCCTGCATGCATCCTAAATTCCCAACCCCATAGGTACCGACCAATTTTGTGGTCCCTTTTGTCCCCTATGCCATACCAATGAACATGAAACTAATACAGAATCCGGTACCAGCGGTTTGGGGGTTAGCTTTTGGTAACACACTCACATTTTGTAAGGTCGTGTAGACTTTCCTAAGGTATTACAGTTCCTTTATACGGGTATAGCGATCGGCAATCTACTTACTAGCTACTACTACTAGCTGTATCATGGGTTATTGGTATTGCGACTACTGTAAAGCTTGGTTTGAAAGCAAGAGGGCACTAAGTGCTCACACCAACCAATCTCGGAGTTGCATTGCAGAAAGGCAGATTTCACTTGGCATTGGAAAGCAACAAGAAGTACTAGTATAGGAGAAAAGGGACATGACTACTGCAGGGCTTGGTGCCACTGACACTGGAAGACCCGCTAAAGCACCACGGCAGTTAGAAGATCTGCAGGAGAGAGAGAGGCACACAGTCAATGCCAGCCATTCCACAGACATGTGGAGGAAGATCACAATTGCTTGGGCCATGCAGATGGTGGTGGTTTGGTTTCGAAAGCGAGGAGACAATAGAAAACCAGCAGCTGACCCGGGTTTGGTACCCGAGATGAGACGGCAAAGAGGAAGCAAAAGAGGAATATGATGAGGAAAGAAGTGACGACGATTGAGACACGAAGAGAGAAGAAGAAGACGACGATGATGATAGTAATGAAGATGATGATGAACCAGCAGTGTGGATCAACAGTACCCTGGTACAAATTCCCCCAAGGGATGGAACCATGACATGAACTTCCAGACGATAGGAACATCAACCATTCCGGCAATATTGTGCAAATTCAAAGAAGACGTTCCTCCCTTGGATAAGAAACAGGGTCTGGGGTGTCAAATTGATGGAAGAACAAGGCGCCTTTGTCTGCGTTGATGATGTGTTACATGGTCAGCTGTCGTGAAAATGGAGCCGAATGTTGTGTGACGAGAAGCTTGGTGAGGCGTTCGTCTTACCAAATTGATGAGCTTCCTCATGACAAGATACAACATGCTGGCAATTCCCTTTCACCAAAGAACTGTGTGACTTCAACATATCAGGGTGCTACATCCAAGGTGGATGATGCCACATGCTCGCCATTGTGATTTTGGAATTGCTTGCGATCTACGCCTCCGGACGACGATTTCTCTTTTTTCGATAATGTCCACTGCTTCACACTAAAACGAGTTCCAAAATCAGTCAGTTGAACACTAGTGAGGCGTACCGCAATTGTTACAAGGCATACGTTACCAATCCCCGAAAGCAAATGGGAATCGGAATCAAATGGTATATTGATGGGGCAGTGACTGGCCAGTTCCAAAATCTTTCGATAACTGCGCTGAAAATGTCTCTCTCTTGTTTCTCCCTGGGATATCGAAGGAAGGATCAGGCATGGGCAACTCTTGGATAGGTTGTCAACTACTCGTCAGGCAAATCACAAGGAAAGAAGATATTTGCCGACTCAAAACATGATCAAGCAGTTCTGGATTTCCTGAATTTCGGAGGTTTACTTCCCAATGAGGGGGGTAGACAAACGAAAGTTGTGAAGGCACAGGACTTTCAGAACTGCTTGATCATGGTTTGAGTCGGCCAATATCTTCTTTCTGTGATTTGCCTGCGATAGTTGGAAACATATCCAGGTTGCCATGCCTGATTCCTTCCTTCGTATTCCAGGAGAAACAAGAGAGGGACATCTTCAGCGCAGTTATCGAAAGATTTTGGAACTGGCCAGTCAATGCCCCATCAATATACCATTGGATGACGATTCCCATTTGCTTTCGGGATTGGTAACGTATGCCTTGTAACAATTGCGGTACGCTTCACTAGTGTTTAACTGACTGATTTTGTACTCGTTTTAGGTGGTGGAGCTAGTGGGTCGTTATCGAAAAAGCAGAAATCGTCGTCCGTGAGGCGTGGATCGGCAAACAATTGCCACACACAATGGCGAGCATCGTGGAACACCACCTTGATGTTAGCACCTGAATGTAGAAGCACAAGGTCTTTTGTGAAAGGGAATTTGCCACCCATGTTGTATCCTGTCATGAGGAAGCTCATCAACTTTTCCGGCTCAAGTACTCCGGAACCTCACAAAGCTTCTCGTCACCCAATTCGGGCTCCAGTTTCATCCAAGTGCCATGTCAAAACATCATCATACGCAGTCAAAGGCGCCTTGTTCTTTTGAAGGATATCCATCAATTTGACACCCCGAGCCTGTTTCTTACCCAAGGGGAGGAATGTCTTCTTTGAATCTGCACAATATTGCCGGAATTGGTTGATGTTTCTATCGTCTGGAGGTTCATTTTCATGGTTCCATTCCTTGGGAGTTTTTACCAGGGTAGCTGTTGCTCCACCACTGTGGTCTGATCATCATCTTCATTACTATCATCATCGTCTGTGTCTTCTTGCGAATCGTCGTTACTTCCTTCCTCATCAGTCTCCTCCTTTTCGGCTTCCTATCTGCCTCCTTTTTTGCTTCCTCATTGCCGTCTTCTCGGTTACCAAACCGCGGGTCAGTTGCTGGTTTTCTATTGTCTTCCTCGTTTTCGGAACCAATACCACAACCATCTTGCATGGCCCAAGCAATTTGATCTTCTTCCCCCATGTCTTGTGGAATGGCTGGCATTTGACTCGATGTGCCTCTCTCCTCTCCTGCAGATCTTCTAACTTGCCGTGGTGCTTAGCGGGTCTTCCAGTGTCAGTGGCACCAAGCCCTGCAGTAGTCATGTCCCTTTTTCTCCTAGTACTAGTACTTCTTGTTGCTTTGCCAATGCCAAGTGAAATCTGCCTTGCTGCAATGCAACTCCGAGATTGGTTGGTGTGAGCACTTAGTGCCCTCTTGCTTTCAAACCAAGCTTTACAGTAGTCGCAATACCAATAACCCATGATACAGCTAGTAGTAGCTAGCTAGTAGTAATTGCCGATCGCTAGCCCGTATAAAGGAACTGTAATACCTTAGGCAAAGTCTACACGACCTTACAAAATGTGAGTGTGGTTACCAAAAGCTAACCCCCAAACCGCGCTGTACCGGATTCTGTATGTAGTTTCCATGTTCATTGGTATGGCATAGGGGACAAAACGGGACCACAAAATTGGTCGGTACCTATGGGGTTGGGAATTTAGGATGCATGCAGGGTTCCAAAACGGTGCATACTGCCACACCCAATGGAGAACCCAGTACCTGTTCCACAAGAAACACCATCCAAATCCGGGAGCAATGACGTCACCAATCGCCTAGGGACGCATATCGTTCGGTACCTTCCAGACCTCGCTGTTTTCGCGAGACCCCATTATGCGCTTCTTAGATGTTGCTCGTGTGCGCAAGGATATCTACAAGATTCCTGATAGTGTCAATGCTGGAACTGAGGACTCCAAGAAGAAGCACAAGCGCCAAGAGTCCGGTGTGGATCTTGATGAGATTGATGATCAGGTTGCCCCTTGGCAACCTAGTGCCTGGAAAGGGGCTGCCTCCAAGGATCCACGAATACATCGGATATCCTTGCTTACTTTGAAGCTGTCTAGCTGCTAGCATCATAACTATAGCTAATATTGAGGCTATCACTATTATAGCTTTTGATCTTTATAGATAGGAGAGTAAGAAAAAACAATCCCTTTGGATATAGCTGCCATTGTCATTGTGTAGTGGCTGCTCACATTTTGCGGATTGAGTCAAATCCGAGGTGAGGATATTCCATCCGTGGATTGGCGATTCTATAGTAAAACAGTACAAAACTGCCTCTGTGCCGCGGATAACGGATAATGCCATCGTCGACACTGGGATAATGCCATCGTCGACACTGTTTCGACTACAAATGGAAGCTATTGTTGTTGTTGGACACCGTGTTGACAGCCTCTGAAGCCTTCGCAATGCACGCCTCGAAGGATGCACTCACTCGTTTGGTATCTGCACTCTTGTTGCTGTTGCTGTAGATCAAAGTGACCTGGAAAGCAGTGATACCAGAGACGTTTGGTCCAAACTTCACAAAAGTACATCGACCACGGATGGATGTAGTATTGGCACTCTTGACTTTCTTGTAGATTCGCTCCCACTGAACGCTTTCAGGAAGGTAAACAGCTCCTTGGAAGCGGTCACCGGGGTGGTTGCCGCCGCCATCAACTCCATCGATCACCTCATGACCATCAATCAGTACCCGAAACAGGGTGGTGTTACCAAACTGTTCAAGAGACAACGAGCCTTGCACACGGCGGCTGCATCCCATGGTGGAAGAGATGCGGACAACCATCGTGATATCATCAGCTGTATGACTGCTGAATGAAAAAAGAGGGCTCCATGCAACGCTTCGAGCAATCATCCGACCACTGACAGAATGCAGGCTGCCAACAAAAACGAGAAAGAATGAGCGAAGACGATTTGCGATCTCAAGTCCACCATCGTACATTCGCTGGCCCAAAGCACGGGCAGCAAGAAAAAAGGAAAAGACTTGGTTGGAAAAAGAAGACATAATTGCTTTTCGGAAAGGGGAGCGACAGGCAAAGTGCGAGCGACAAAACAACATCAAAGACGTGAGCCAATCCAGCCAGAACAGATGCAATTCAAACAAGACCAATCAAGTGTTGGCGGGCTCAATCATTGGAACTCGCCTCTTCTGTCAAACCAAAGAAGCTTCCTCGTTCCGTGTGGAGTGCGCGCCTTCTCCTCAAAACCGAGGGAAACTTTGGAGTAGCAGCTCGGCTCAAATCTTGTTGGATGGACTCTGCTCACAACTGATCCCATACTGGACTGGACCAACCACAACAACAATAAATCAATTAGTCAACATGTTCGGTCGTTACTCCATCCAACAATTTCCTTCATGGCAGACGCCGTCAACAAGGACACCGGCAAGCTGCTTACCTTCACTGTCAATGAAGACTTGTCGAGTTTCACCGTTTGCTTCCAAGATCATGAAGAAGAGGACGCAGTGGAGGCCACCCAAGTTCTTCCAACCATTACTGTTGCCGAGCCTCTCGCTTCCGCGGTCGCTTCCACAGAAGCTGGCGTCGCCACAGCAGACTTATCGTCGGAATATTCGGAGGAAGACGACAACAAGGAAGAAGAAGATGATGAGTTTGATATTGGCATGGAACAGGAATTGGACTTTCTTACCAACGGCTTGGACACTAGTGTCAACATTCTGGACACCACTGACTCGAGTTCTGATTACGATGAAGTTGGTGGCTTTTCCCAAGAGCAATTCTTCACTCCCATCAAGAAGACTGCCAGAAGAAGTCCACCAACAAGACGCCCACTGCTTTGAAGAATCTCCCTCCCCGCAAGCAGCCCTCCCGTCGTAGCAAGAAGTAGGTACTGGTATCAGCAGGACCACCGCCATTGTCAACATATTGGACTATTTCTTTTCGATTGTGGTGTGCGAGAGTGCGAGTAACAGATCGATATCGGTAGTGCATGGACGGCTGCGTGTGTGTGGTTCAGCCCTGTCGGTCGGTTGGAGGGAGAGGCCCGGTGCGATATATAACGCTTCAAAAACAGTAGTAAAAAATATCGTAGATGACGTATCGCGTCTGGGGAGCCCTCCATCCATCAACTCCCATGAGAGAAAAGACGGATCGATTTTTCAACAACCAATACAGAAGCTCACTCTTTGGGACTTGGAAAGTACGTCGAAGCATCTGCCCTATTGATATCTGTATAAAAAACATATATTGGCTTACTCTTAGAGTGGCTTGTTTGCTCGGAGACGACCGGCAGTTGCGGACGATCCGAACTACCGGTATCGTACCAGCCAATCGACACTTTCTTTCTTGGATCAGCTTCTGAAATCAACACCACCATGAAGAAAGCGACCGCCAGGAAGCGGATTGCAAGAGATAGCCAGGTCTTTACAAGGAAGGATGCACTACCTGCCATCATTCGGGAGGCTCTGGGGAAGGGACAATGGAAAGCAGAGCTCGCAGATAACCAAGGGCGCCCAAAACAAATGTTTCTTGAAGTGTCATCTCGAATGCTCCGACATCCACTCGACGGCGAATTGCCGACAGCGACGCAGCCAGATGAATCAGAAAACAGCAGCAGTGAGGGCGGCAGCCACAATGATCAACCCGAGGATGAAGAGGGGAGCCGAAATTTGGATGATGAGCCGCTCAATGAATCAGTCGAGGTTGTTGTTGTTGCTGCTGCCACCGAGAAAGCCAAGAATGATGACGACCAGAGCGATGATCAGAACTCCCAAGCAGCAAGCGACGGCGATGAAGAGGATCAGGATCCCGACAACGAGCTTGAAGAGGATGTCCCAGTCTTTGCTGGCCAGGACAAGGAGGAAGCAATCAGAGTAGCCGGTGAGCAAGTTGCTTTCAACGCCAAGGACTTTGCTGCGGCAAGAGGAAGCAATTGAGACTGACGATGAAAAGCACCGCAGAAAGTGGAACGCTTACCAAACTGAGAAGAATATCTTGATCAACGATGGATGGACTATCGAATGCAAGCCTCCAAGCAAACAGTCAATTCAGTTGGGTGAAAGCGTCAAGGAAAGAAGTGGCCGGATGCGTGTTGGCATCATCGTGGAAAATAATAGGGGGGAAGACGACGCTGGACCGTTCTGGGCGGTTCAGTTCAAGGATAGCACTGAACCTGAGAAGCGTGTTTCATCCAAGAAGCTTCAACTGGTGAAGGACAAACGCAAGGTGACTTGGACCGCAGTCGAGGAATCAACACCTAAGTCTCCAGTCGAGCAAGCACGGAATGCTGGTGTTGCTGGTTTCAAGTTCCAAGAAGCCTTCCAGGAAAACTCAGATCCAGATGAGGCAACGTACAGCTACCCATTCCTCAGCTTGCTGATTCATCTGTGGCCTGGCGACTGGCGTGGACATCTACAGAACCTCAACAACGCCATCGGAGAGTCCAACCGACAGATTCTTGCGAATCCAAACGTCCGAAATGCAAAGAAGAAGACGATTGGATCCTTCTCGGAGAGAGAGTGGTGGATTGTTTTTGGTGTTATCTTCGTCGCTTGCCCTTGTCACAAAGGAGGAGAGAAGCTGTTCCAAAAGGAAAGAAAGAAAGGCCGACTTGCACCAGTTATCGATGTTAGCATCGACCAGAGCAGGTTTGATGAGATAACAGGTCAAGCTGGCAAGAAGATTTTGTCTTACGATCGATTCAAGAAGATCAAAGAGAGGCTCCATTTGGCATTTGATGACGGGACCAACTCTGATGATCCATGGCATCCGATTGCTCAATTGGTTGACAGGTTCAATGACAATCGCAAACGATGGGTTGTTGGCCAGTTCGAAAGAGTCCTCGATGAGCTCATGAGTCCATTCCGTCCACGCTCAACAAAATCCTCACTGTTGCCATTTCTTTCCTTTATTTTTCGGGCACTGAATACAAGTGTGCGGCGGACACGGCAACTGGAATCATTACTTACTTGGAGCTCCAGCGTGGAGCAAAGCCAAAGCCTCTTGGCACTGAATACAAGTGTGCGGCGGACACGACAACTGGAATCATTACTTACTTGGAGCTCCAGCGTGGAGCAAAACCGATGAGACGCAAATCATTTCAATCGAAGGTTGGAGCAACTGCTGCTTGCACCCTCCGACTTACCATTGGTGGTACCCACACTGGCATTGCTACAAAGGAAAGAGAGCAGCTACAACAGGCCGAGCGGCGGCACGTCATCATCACGGACTCTTGGTTTGGCTCTGTTCGGTGCGCGGAAGCCATGAAATTGCTCCGAAAGAAGACTGATGATGATCCGACAGATGGAACCGAAGACTATTTTGAAGCTTTCGACTCGTTCAAAGGCTACGTCATCGATCCGGCATCAAAGAACAAAGATCCAACCAAAGGCCATGAGCTCATTGCGGCTGTCAAGCCGTCGACTGGCTGGTTTCCGAAAAAGGATATTGAAAAGAAGATGAAAGATTGGCCAGCGGGGTCTCACCTTGTGATGGTAACAACACTTCCGGAGTCCAATGTGGAGCGTGTTGCCATTGGATACAAGTACAACTCAAAGAAGGTCCTCTGCTTTGTCATGACAAAGGATGCTGCTTCCACGCTGGAGGGCAAGTCCTACACCGCGAGATTCCCCGATCCATATGGCAATGTCAAGGAAAGGAAAGTTAGCAGACCACAAGCTCTATCAACGTACTTCGGCGTCTCAAACCTTATTGATAAACACAACCAAGCCAGACAAGACCTCCTTGGATTGGAGACCCATTGGGCAACTCAAAACCCTTGGTTTCGAACCATTACCACCATTATTGGTGTCACTGTTATTGACTGCTGGAAAGCAGTCAAGTATCGACTGCCTGGACAATTCGCCAACATGACAGTGGAGGAATTCGCTGATAGACTTGCACATGGGTGATTGTTTCCACAATCCCTTCAATGGAGGAGCAGCAACAGCCCAAGGCGACATCGTGGCTGATGGACTTCATGACTCCGCAGCAGACTTATCTACTCGTGCAGCAAGCTTTCCCTCTACCTTGTTACGCGGCCTGGGTGTGGACCAAGCCGCTGATCGGCTCCAAAACATGACAATCCGGTGCTGCGGAGGACTCGAAGATGCTTCTCCACTGTCGACAGCAACAACTGGAGCCTTCTTTTCTTCCAATACCATCAGAAGCAACGACGAGCATGAAGTCATGATCCAAAGAGTCAAGGATAACAGTGGCCAAGGAACCAAGCGGCGATGTGTTGTTTGTGGTAACGACACTCGCAACGAGTGTGCTAACACGACGTGTCGAGAGACTGAGCAGGAGTATGGCACCAATAACTATTTTGGTGTTCCTGTCTGCAATAGGGTGAGACCAATCATTGCTCGGAGGAAGCTGATCAACAACTCGAAGTCTTGTGTTCAACTCCACAGAGATGACTGTCGGAAGAAGGGCTATTGACTGTGTCAGAAGAAGGGCCATTGACTGCTCCGGAGCTCCGGACGACTATCGCGTCTCTGTTATATCCAGTCTGTTATCCAGTCGGATCCGAGGTGTCTACTTGAAAATCACAAACAACAACAAACTATGCATGAAAACCAATAACAATCAGCTACTATAACCGATCGCTATTATCACCACTTTGTCTGCTGGCTCTGTTGTTGCCATTTGGTGCCGCTGGAGCATGCTTGGATGGCCATGGTGGCTCTTGTTGGCAGTGAGGATCTTTGTCAACAGTCTGCGTACTTGGATCCTCAAACCTCGGATAAGCCTGCGGATCGGATATTTATCCGCAGCGCCTTCCAAGGCACTAGGACCCCATCATTTGGTGGGGTTCTACCCAGGCTTTTGGTGGCTTCCTCCACTTTCTTCAATTTCATTTCTCCCCTTTTAGCAGGGCTTCCAAGACGACTTTGTTACCTATGGCGTCCTTGTTTGGTTGCCCCAGCCGTCCTTTTTTGGAATCATTTGGACCCTTTTCTCGGACCTATGGATGCCCGTACCGTTACAGTTGGTTACATATGAGTGACCTGTTTTTCCCCTTTTACTACGAACACTATGTCATTGTTCGCTTACCTCCACTACTCTGATATTAGTAGTTCTAGTTCCATAACAAATTTAGCCCCAATCATATCCAACATTGTGTACTGCTTTTCTCCATTTTGGAAACCCCTACTTATAGATTTAGTAACCTAGGACTCTTTCATTTGGGAAGGAATGGCTGAGCTGTTTTGGATTCCACGGCTTGGGGAATAGCCTACAACTGCCCTTCTGTAATTAGCATCACAAAGTGCATCAACTTGTAAGCCATGTATAGAAAGGGGAACGGAATTCGGTAGAGGAATAGTGAACGCTTAGTTCAACATTCTGTAACCGTTGGGCCAATGACTCGTGCTGCAATTGCATCTGTATATGCCTGAGTCGATCGTCTTCAATTAGTAGGATAAGAGGTTCTTGAATATTGCCGAGCGCAGACAAGCTGCGCTCGCCCAGAGCAGCTAGACACGACTAGTAGAGGATTAGGTGAGTGGAGAGACTCGGCCATTTACTGAGCCGACCGTCTCCAGTCCCCGGGGTACCATTCGGGACTGGGGAGTCCCGGATGGATCCCACACGGCAAAAGGGGAGTCCCGGGAATGTGATGTTCCACGGGACAGCCTTGAGTCGTGCAACCCAAAAGCCGAAGGCAGAACAGAGAGGGAGCGTAGCGGGGTGGGAGAAGTTACCCCCTGTCCAGGTGGAGGCGAGGACAGGGGGGCCGAGGACTAGGGGTAGGCTAGTCCTCGTGGAGAAGAATCTCGTTGAAGTGTTGGGGCGCTTGTGCCGGGAGGAGGTGGCGATCGTAGGTGCCTCCCGGGAAGTT